CTTGGTGTGATTTTTCTCTAAATATTGAAGGATCATGGAAAAGCTACATCATTTTGCCTCTAGTTTTGTAATCTTCTTTAACGTTGCAAAGCTTGCAGCAGAGCTGCAAAAATACATCATGGACATGCACAATTACATGGAGGATGTCGGCATTACCTGGAGGCCGTCCTGCCAAGCGGAAGCACCATTTGTGGAGATTTTAATGCTTGCATTGCCAAAAGCTAGGTTTAATCGACTACGGAAGCTTTGCTTAGTAGCCATCTAATAGTGATCCATCAGAGCCGAACCCCACTGATTTGGACTACCTCGGCATCGGTAACCTACTATATCCGCCTTGTTTTCTGCACTAATGTTTCAGAAATAAATACTTGTTGTTTAGTTTCGCCAGAAGGTACACTTTATAGAATTGAAATAAGATGAACAGACAAAAGGACTGAAGTGCTAGAATTTTGCCTTAACAACCACATCATTGTTCGGTTCTGCCACTTTTTGGCACTTTAAAGTCTATCTCGTCAATTATCTGCGCCTATTTTATAATAAAGGAAAGACCTCACCTTTTTAACAGAATTTTCTGCAGACTGCATTTAAATGCGGCATTCTGTTAGGGGATTTTTATTACAAGCTGACTAAGATGTTGTGCGATTGAAATAGCCATATATGTGCGGTGTGGTTTTTAACGCACTAAAATACAGACTGTGGGTTAACCTTCGTGATTGTGACAGGAGATTTGAATCGTCTCCTCTTCGTCTGCATTGATCGTGGTAATGTTCAGTCATGAATAGGGACTTTGTTTGGCTGCTTTTCTACATTTTTAGCGTCTGTATTAATGGCTTTTGCAACTTTGGTCGTGTTTTTAAGTCTTTGCGAAGTGTTTTACAGAACTAAGGCCTTCGATTTTGTTGGGATGTTGCAAAATTTGAATTTGGGACGCATATTTCGTCAGCTATTAGCTATTTAGCTGGAAATCCTATAACTTTTCGCACATATCTAGCTAGCTACTTGTTACTCAATGTTGTAACCTCTAACTGCATGCATTCGATTTAATCACGCTGATTTACACAACTATCCCGTTACTTTAATTGATCATTTTGGAGGAGCCTACTTTTGTTCTACTCTGATTTTAGCACAATATGGAGCTGCAAAACTCCTTTTTTATGAATGCACATGCCATTACTAAAGGGACATTGAAAATGGCTGAAGCCCAGATAACATCTTCAGGATTGAAGTCACGGCTTCACAGGCAACATGAACCTGTGAAATGTGAGAAACACTTGAAAGATACCATTGAGCAGTTAGAACAATTGACTAAGTTGTTTCTGGAAATTCAAACTCCTTCAGAAAAGTCCGGTCTGCATACACAGTTTATCGAGTATTGGGACAAATTTAGCACAAGTTTGACCAAATTGTTAAAACAGTTTGAATCGCGTCTATCAACTGGAAGCAAAAATTTTGACATGGAGACTTTTAGCAAATACACTTTTTTCTTTTATCATATGTAAGTTCTGTGTTCTAAAAATTACTTCAGCATTCTCATCAACACAATATCATGTCGAGTAGATGCATTTGCACGCTTTTCCAAAACTAAATCTCTAATTCAGATCAAAAAGGCCACGTATACTAAATTTCTTTTGTTAGGAATATTTGATTTGTATGCGCCTACAATTCATATTTGTCATTCGCTACACTTTCTAAAGGCTGTTTGGAGTTAGTTTAACTTTTGGCCGACATATCTTTGACTCCTAGGGCGGAAGAAATTAAATTCCTTTTCCCAAGTGGAAAATTCGCGACAAATCAAGTTTTTGGTAGGAAAGACGCCCAAAATTGGTGGGAACGCAATTTTAATCCACGGTATGGTTTGTTGATTCATTTTACGTTATTTCATTCATGAATCGATTCCATGAGTGTGTAATACACCCAAAAAATGAACCGATACATTCGATGAAACAATATAAAGTGGCATTTTTTTCTTTTGTCTAAGTGTTTTCCACGAAACCCTTAATGAGGGATGATTTTGTCATTCTAGGGTGGCAGTTGCAAGCGCTGAGTTCTTGGCCCGGTTCAGAAACGAGTTTCCTGATGTAAATGAGGATGGTGATGCGTTAATTGACACCATGGGCTTCTCATCACTCGACTATATTTCTAAATATGATTTAGACATTTTTACAAGGTGTGCCTTGATAAAATGACTCATTCATTTTTGTTGATATGTTGGATGTCTCTGTTGATCTGTTAATCTGTTAAAGACTTTTCGGAGCGTGGCCGTTTGTTACTCGAATTTGGAGAAGACTGGTGAATCACCCTGGTTACCAAAAATATGGAACATTCAATACTACATTTGATGTACTTAATAGATGTAGAACGACTCCAGGAAGGTAAATGATACGATATCCAGTCCTTGTTACACAACATCATTTTTAGCGGAGGAGCTCTATGTTGTAAGGCATCTAAAATTTTGCATAATATTGAGCTGTCATGGTAAACCAACCCGATTTTTATGCGCCTTCACGTACTAGCAGCTATTTGTGGGTCATATTTTTTTCTCTCAGCTATACTTTTCGTATCAGCATGAGTCGCAATGGGTATTGGTCCATCGGCTATGTGTCCGCAGAGGGAAAAATCACCCAGGTATTGTGCTTTACTTCACCAATGACGGATTATCTCTGCTCCGGGAAAGAGCAAGGCTGGTACGTGTTCCTTCAGCCGAAAATACAGAGCTGTGGTTTGAAGTTCAACCCAACAGTCATAGGAAAACTGAAACCTTGCTATTGATATGCGCCAAATTTAGCAAATACCATTTCGTATAAAAACTAGCTCTCATTATTCGTCGACATTTATGTAAAGGCAATATCCGAATCATTACTCCCTAAGAGGCTGAAAAACAATGCGGCAGATAAGTCTTATAATTTCTTATTTCGATGATGCCTTTTTCAGCTTCAAATATCCAAAGGGTCAAGCATGTTCAGATGATCTTTCGGATGTGTCCAACATGAGGACCAAGGTAGAATTGTACAGCCATCCAGGAGATGCTGAGGACTTGCTGAAGTGCAAAATTTGTGGAACCAATCCGAACGACGCACAGCTGGAGCCTTGTGGTCACTTCATTTGCGTTCATTGTTGTAGAAAAATACAGGTGAGCTCTCTACTTGCTGTTGGCATTGGCATATATGCATTCATGCATATTTGCTTAATCAAACACGCAAATATGTCTAAATGGTGTCAAAATGTTCTCGAATTTCCAAATTTTTAAGTGAAAATTAGGGCTTTGATTATTTTGAACTGTACAAGTGCTGCGCAATGCACCATTAGGGGCTTAAAACGTGTTTTACATTAACAAAATCTACTGTATTCCTAGAATGTGGAGCAGCCCCAAGTACACTGTGCGGCGTTGATAAGCTTTTCGTGCAGTTGTATACACATTGACTGTTAGAGCTCTCCCAACTGTGTTTCGTTACAGGGAGGAGCTCCGTCCGGGGTGAGTTTAAAACACTCATATCTTCTGAAATAAAGTGGTTATGATAATATTATTATAAAATGATTCGCGATGCTTGATAACCCTAAACCTTCGAGACTTATTAAGTCCTGTTTTTCCACACATGTTTTTGATGAACGGGTCGGTTTTCATAATGATGGAATATTCATGGAAGATGAATGTGCTTTTTGCAAATGATGAAAAATATGTTCCTTATCGGGCTTTTGCATGTATCAAATGATGTATAAAGTAGCATTGCCAATGTTCCAGCAGTCGGATGTCAGGCGGACGGTTTGTCCTCCCACATTCGTGGGCGAAATGTCCATGTATGTTTATAGATGCCCGAGCCTTACTGAATGATATTTTCGTCCTTTCATACAGTCTTCAGCTTCGTGCTACCAGTGTAACAGCAAAATTCTATGCACAACGCCTATTGAAATTAAACTCGAAATGGCTAATGCAGGTAGGTTATGCATTTATGATGGGAGACTTGTAAAACATTTAACTGCAATAGTCCCGATGAAATTGTGGGCAAAATGTGCCGAGTTTCGTGCATATGTCTTCATTTTAACTTGCAAAATTACCTTACTTATGAGATGTGTCCTAGAATTACGGTCTCCTATGTACAAATTAGGAAATCCGAAGTTAAAGTTACATAAATAGTCATTTAAATGGGTTCAACTGATATCTATCTGGTTTACCACTTCCCGCACTTTCATATAAAAAATATTCTTGGTTCTCGCTTTTAGAATCCTCGCAGCAAAGAGACGATAAAGGCGACCAATTTCATTTTAAAGTATGCGTAATTTTAATTGTCGATCGAATGCGCATTTAGAACTTTGGCGGTGCCAACAAGCCGACAGCAGGGTGAGTTCTCACGTCATCACTGCCGGGCGTCACATAGCTATTGTTGTAAATGATTAGGGTGATTTCAGAAATTGTTAAAACTACCATAAATGCTGAATTTCCCCACAACAATGCATTGCCGAAGGCTGGGCTTATATCAGAACATTTTAAAGGTGAACGAACTTCGACATCGTAGTGATTA